CCCTCTGACTGCTGCAGGGGCGTGTCTTAGAGAGAGGTTTATATATCAGGACACAACTGCTGTGACGAAACTGTGCAGAACCACGTCACAGCGGAGAGCCGTTAACCAATATGTAAATTAGCCTGCAGTACCACTGCTCCACCCATGTGCGCAGCAAAAAGACGTTTTTAGACCAAATATTACAGATTTGAACAAATACACACAAAAACATCAAAATTAGCACAGAAACAGTACTATATAACATTTTAGACACATTCTAGACAGTTTATCAGCTAAAAAAAGTTAATTTTGGGGTAAGTTACTCTTTAAGGTAAGGTCAATTTGTACATCTGCCAAGTTGTACCTCCAATTTGTACGCTGCATAGAGCTGGGCGTTGTACCAACTAGTTATTTTAAGTAATTTTATTTTTTTTTATGATGTGAATTTTCTGCATTTAAAATAGCCAAATCAACCTTCAGAAAGTCGCACCCACCACTAAACTGTTTCATGAGGGACATTTTTTCTGGATAATTCGCACATGCAGGAAACAGAGCAGCGCACAGGGCAAGCTAGTACAGTTGGTTTTGTCTCAATTCAGGGGTTCCAGCAGCACATGTAGACCTTGGCCCATGTTGGCCATACCCTACGTAAAAAACCCTTATATGTAAATAAACAAAAAACAATAATTTGGGTTTAGCTCCAGTACTTGTAGTTGCTTTATATTTAGCATCTCATTGCAACATAAATTTCAGTTCAAGTTGCTAAACGTACATTAAAAAGTAAATTTGCATTCTTTTGGGTTTAGAGGGCATTAAAAATTAAATATGTTTGCTAATATCACCTAGCTGTGGTGGCCATGTTTAATTGGGTTGACTCAAAAAGATATTCAGTCGTACATGTTAAAATAATGATAACTTTTCTGAGAATTTCTTTAAAATCTGTGCAGCGCTTCATTAGACATTTTGCTAACAGACAGAGTCAAAAACGCTACTCTGTATTAAAACCTGGAGTCTGGCACCATCAGGTGGTTCTTCTGACACAAACCAGCTGCTTCACTTCAGGAGTGTAAGCGAGGCTGAAAGTTCAAGGATCAGTGGGTGTGGTGGGCTTTCCTGCCTTTAATCAGGCCTGAGGCCTGGAGAGTGACTGGGGACGATGGGCCACAACATGCGCTGGCTGGGATCGGTGGTGGCTGGGGTACAAGGACTGGCTGGAGACCAGGGGCGGTGAAGCTTGGAGAGTGGCTGGGGATGGCAGGACATGGCGTGCACCAGTGGTGAGCGGTGGTGGCTCGGGGACGAGGAAAGATGCTTCGACACCTTGCCTCGGTGTGAGGAGGGCCTGGTAATGGAGTACATTTACTTGAGCACTGTACTTAAATACATTTTTTGAGTTTCTTTACTTGAGTAATTATTTTTTGGGGAACTTATGACTTTCACTCCACTACATTTCAAAGACAAATATTGTACTTTTGACTCCACTACATTCTAGGAAGTTTTTAGTTACTTGTTACTTTTGGTTCAGCATAGCTTTGTAATCAGCTGTTGCTGTTTTTCTTTCTTGAAATGCAATTGGACACACTATGTTCCTCACACGGGGAACCAGTCACAGTCGTAGCTCACACTTGGGGTAGATTTGAAATGACATCATCTTCATTAACAGTCGCAAGCTGAGCCTGAGCTCCACCTTCATTTCAAACAGAACCCAGCAATGGAGACGATTGAAGAGAGTAGAGAAACCAGCGCACCCATGACCATACACCAGAGTGTAAAAAGAACTCTCCTGTTGGTTTGAGATTTTAGGACTGAAAAATAGTTTGTATCATTTTAAACCTCTTCACTCTGAAAACAATACAGCAATGGACTGATATTAGAAAAATTTAATTAGCACTTTTGAATACTTAAGTATGTATTTCAGTACTTTAACTTGTGGATATTTTTGACCGAATAACTTTTATTTGTAGTTGTGTCGATTTGACCATGAGTATCAATACTTTTACACAAGTACRAGAGTTGAGTACTTTGTCCACCACTGACTATATTGTGACCACAGCTCCAAAAGTTTGATTTGGCAGAGATACAAGGTGACCTGGAACCAAGATTAAACTTCAACTCAGAAAGAAACATACCTGCAACAACATCAACAGACTTGTTGGATGGACCACAGTAGAGAATCACTTCTTTTTTGTCTCTGTCCTTTGGATCATTAAGCTGTCTTTGGTTTTCAGAGTTCAATTCAAAAAACCAGTACACTATGTAAACACCTACTACCGTCTTCCCAGTTCCTGTTAAGTAAATAAATATTAGGAAATAAAATAAACATGAGGTAATGGTGTATACATTAAGGTGTTTTTGCTCTTACCAGGTGGTCCCTGTATAAGTGTGAAGGTGTTGTTTAGAGCAGTTGCCACAGCATTACACTGGCTGTCATTAAGCACTGGAAGGTCAGCTGGTAACCTTGTTCTGTTAACTTGTGCTTTTAGCATAGGTCTTTGTAAAACTGCAAAAATAAAACAGAAAATGTTTTGGGTCTAGTTGTAAAATGAAAGAATCTAACAAAACAGAAGAGAAAACTAAATATGAAAATGTTGTGTATCATTAAATGGATCTAAATGCTTAGAATTGGTTGCATTTGACTGATTAATATTGTCCTTACCCCTTTTTGGAATGCTTTTTCCAAGAGCTATTCTTACAACAAGGTCACACGCCGTTTTTAAATTGATGAGAGCAGCTTCTTTTCGACTACAGCAACGTAGAAAAAAACATTTATTGTGAACCAAGAAGACCAAGAAAATGTTTGTTAACCAAAATACATGTCCTGAGAAACCCCTTCTTTCCAAACATAAAAACATGCAAACTTATTGTGTGAACTTACATGTCAGGCAGAAGCTTTGGGATTATTTCAACAGTGAAACGAGTGTTTTTCTGAAAAACACACTGAGGAATAGTTTCCATTGGAAGATGGTTGATGTAGAACTCCACTTTCATTCCAGTTTTATTTTTGTCATCCACATTAAATGTGACACCATGTGCCACCCATGTGAACACTTTTGGGTCCACTACAGCAAAGTGTTCTGGGTTATAATTTGAAGGCAACTTCAGACCTCTTTTCCGTATGCAGAGTAAGCACTTGGCAAGGTTGCATTCAATAGCCCAGTCCTTGATCCATTCCTTGAGTAAAAAGAACTCTCCTGTTGGTTTGCCTTCCTGTTGCTGTTTAAAGCTTACCACCAGGTTCTCAATGGTAATGCTGTCACTTTCATCTACTGCAGTGGCAGCAGATTCCATCTTGCAAAGTGGTCCCCAAACCCTGGTATATTGCTCTGTGTCCCGATAGTCAACCTTTGATGGCTCGTCTGCATTTTTGGAGAAGCATTTGATAGGATTGTGGACATGGTCCACACAAATCTCAAATTTTGGTCTGATGTGCACCAACTGAACAATGGGCATTGGGCTGCCTCGTTTGATTTCTGATGTCATTTGAACTTGAATGGTGACACCTGGGTGCAGCTGAAGAAATATGTCAACCCAGTGTTCACTTTCTTCGTCTGGTACTTCCGATGTGTTCTTTAGGGAAAGAGGAGGCACTAATGGTTGGGGAGAAACAATTTCCTTTGCTTTAACACCCATTAAAAGATCTTTTGCATAATCAACTTTTCCCTTTTCAATTGCTTCAGTTACAGCATTCCATACTGTAAGTGGAAGTTCAACGCAGGGATCACTGTTTGGCATCATATTCAGCTCTTGGTGAATTTGCATGGAGTCAACTGCGTAGATCCGTCTTTTCCATTTGAGAGTGATAGTTTCTTTGTTCTTGATTGGTTGGTCTTCCAACTGTAACTCGTTGTACATGATTGACTGACTCAAACGAAATATGTCCTTGTTGAAAGGAAATGACACTTTAAAACTATCTTCTTCCTGATCTACATGCACAACTAAGGCTAGCTTTGGTGCGTTCTGCTTCTGTGTGCTCACTGCATAGAATTTCTGTTCAGCATATTGTTCAAACTCTCTGCTTTTCTTTTGGTTTGTCTCAAACTGATGACACAAATCTGTGATCTCGTCTCTAGTGTAGTAGTGACTCGTGTTACAAATGGCTGAGTGCAAGAGTCTCTGCAAGATGACATCCATGTATCTCCTTATAGGTGAGGAGGCCTGTGTGTATCTTTTCAACCCGAGAGAATAATGCCCAACATCTGCTTCGGGTGAGGAGTTTGAGCGGATAACATAAGATTTACTGTAGCAGCGTTTGAACTGATCAATGACTGTTTGGAGTGTAGGGTGAATGTCATCTGCAGCCACCAGGTCCACCATTTTGTCTGTATCATCTGCTTTGGCAGCTGACAGAATGTCTTTCCAAACTTCTTTGAGGAGGCGGAAACTTTGAATGGTTGGGATTTGTTTGTCAAGTTCAACTTTGTGTCGCACATGAAAAGACAATGGTATTAACTCTTTACATTTGTCCTTGAATTCTTCCACCTTCTCAGGAAGTGGGCTTGCTTGACAACGAAGTGGAGTGTAAGACATGGTTTGGTTGGATCTAACCAATGTTTCTGATGCATATCTGTTAAACAACACACTCAGTTCTTCAATCATCAGATGAGCTTTACGTTTTCCAGGCAACCTGTCTTTATCAGGCTGAGAATAAGCCCAGTCAACAAGTCTGACTTTCCTTTGAGCTTTAGCAAAACAATAAGCCACAGCAACACAGTCCTCCACTGTACTGAAATTTGTATTCTCTTTATATTTTCTAGTAATGATCTCTTCTGCTTCTTCGTACGTCAACTGCTTGTTGGATTTGATATGAGAAAGCTGAAATCTCTTGTCAACAATTTCATTTTTCTCTTTTTCCACTGTGAGCATCAGAGAAACCACCCTGCGTTTTTGATTTGGCAAAAGACTGAAGAGGTTTGTGCTCAAGTCTTGAGGGAACATATGAATAGGATTTTCTCCTTTAGGATAATGTGAACATCCACGGTCATTTGCATCCTTATCCAGTTTACTACGTGGAATCACAAAACTCGCCACATCAGAAATATGGATTCCCAACTCGTAACGATTTCCAATATCCCTGATGCTGATGGCATCATCCAAATCTTTTGCTCCCGCTGGATCGACAGTGAATGTGAAGCCTTTCAGTTCGTCCTTTCTGCGTGCATCATCTTCTTCTGCTTTGGAGAGACCTTCATTTGTTTCACATTGTGTGTGTGAAACATCAAATTGATTTTTCAAGAGCCAAAGCCTGTCATTAAAAGGGCCAGTGTTTGGGAGAACAGCAGTGACATTACCCAGTGGAGAAAAGCATCCCTCTTTCCAGCCAATCACTTGCACTAAAAATACACAGCCTCTAACTTCTTTTAGATGCTTAAATCCAATCAGTGTCCAAGAATCAGAAGTTTTCTCCCATAATGGAATAAAGTTGCGTTGCCTTTTGAAGATCATGATGCTCACTCTAGGCTGACTTTTTTTGATAGGCATCATCATTCTTCGTAAAAATTTGCTATCAGAAACCAGTCTTCTCTTGTTGTAATCTTCATCCTCAAGAAAGCACAAACATTCACGGGCAGATTCATCTGCCTTGACAATTCCAATCACTCTGGCTGTTTGCTTCATTGATGCTGTTTGTATGACCACTTCATCTCCAGTGAAGGCCTTACCCACATTTGCCCTTCCTTGAATCCTTGTTTGTGTGTAGGTATTCTGAAATGGTACGACATAGCCTTTGTTGTGTGACTCCTTGACAAACTTTCCTCTTTTGTACATCTTTGGTTGATTTTCACACAACTCCAAGAGATCGTTTGGATTAGTAGAACCTTTGTACGGCTCTCTCCACTTCCAGTGATTTAAGTCTTTTAATCCCGAACTTTCTTCATCTGAACTATATTCTGTTTCCAGCTGTTCATACTCATCTTTTAACTCTTGCAGAATTGCATCAGTGACAGTGTTGTCCTCATCCACATCCTCAGCCCTTTGGAACCTGGCTGTTTCCATTACATCTTTTTCAAAGAAATCTTTGGTGTAATGCTGTGTGGCAACATTGTTAGTACTGATGCAGTGGTCTATAAAGCTCTTCCAGATTCTTGAGCATTTTCCAAAGCAACAAAGTGCAGCTGCATCTCCAACTACAACCACATGAGACTGCGCTCTTGTCATTGCGGTATTCAGCACACGGGCATCGTTAAACAGCGGCAGACCAGACAGGTTTGACTCTTTGAGGCTGTCACGTGTTTGCACAGCTGTCATTATGACTGCTCTGAACTGTTTGCCTGTGGATACATGAAAAATAATTTCACTTAGTAAAATGATGGTGAAATCCAAGTTACACTAAAATAATTGTGCAGTTACTCCAACCTTCCTTTATTTCTCATGTAATGGACAATCATGCAAGAATAACTAAAGCCAGAATAAAATTACCTTGCACGTTTGCAAGAGTTTCAACGTTGACTTCCGAAAGACCTTTCCTTGAAAGCGCAGTTCGAATTCGTCGAACCTGACAGACATAACAAAAATTGAGTTGTTACAACATTTACCATGATGATATTGTAAACTAATGCATTTAACCTGAAAACCTATAGGATTCACACATACAGCATGTAAAATACAGTATTAGCATTTTATGGGCATCCCAAATGTAATGAACTGTAGTGAACTGTCATGAAAGACTTTCCCATTATCTGTAAACACCCATACTGCCTCTTAAAAACAGAATTTTGTGAGCTTTGCATCAAGATTTATGTGCAAATAAGTTAAGTAACCCATAATTCAGTTCCATAATATAGTTATTTGGAATCACCATTGCTAAAGCCTAAAATGCCTAATGTATGTGTGAATCCTTACTTTATGTAAATTGGATGTTTGAGACAAAGCAGAAATGTTTCTACCTGAGAACCTTCTGACAGAACACAAATGGAACTTAGGTTTATGGTCCCCCAGGTTGCTGGCCAGTTTTGGTGAATGTCCTTCACAACTTGAACCACTTCAGTGACCTCTTGATTGTTATACCAAGACATAGACTCCGTGTCCAAGTGGCAATCTCCCCTAACATGGTGAAACTTCAGAGCATGACCATTTTGGGGAGCTGGAATGTTTCCAGAAGCTTCGATGACATCGTTTTTACCCACGTAAAAATGGGTTGACACAAATTCCACAATTTCTTTGGTTGAGCGGTAGTTCTCACTAAAAATGATCCTGCTTTTCTGGGCAGCATTGCACTTCTGGCTTTGATAGTAATGGAACAAGCGAGTAAGAAGTGTGTAATCTGAACGATGGTGATCATCCACGGAGAAGAGCTGGGGTCCCATTTGCATGTGATCTCCAGCTAAAACAACTCTTGTGTTTGGCCCGGCGAGACTGAGAGCCGACAGAGCTTCACATTCTAGCATCTGAGAAGCTTCATCAATCAGAATGTGCGTGAAGAATCCCTCTGTAAGTTTTAGATCATGAAAATGTCTGGCCATGGATGTGGTAGTTATGACTACATTGTGGTTATCCAGGACAGCTTTTGTAGGTGGCAGAAAATTCTTTTTGTCTTCTGATAGAAAACTGTATTTCAAGGTAATCTCATCTGTGACAACCACAGCATTGCCTTGTTTGTTTGCTTTTATTCGTACTGGTCTCAGTTCATTGTTTTTCTTGCTGATAAATGGATGAAAGTGATCTCTGACATACAGGTCTGCAGAACTGAAAGATACAAACATAATAAAGTTTAAATGTCTTCACACAGTTCAAGTAAATGTCTCTGCATGTCAGCTCAATTCAGTTCAATCCATTTCAATTCAATTAAATTCAGTTCAATTCAGTTTATTTATATAGTGCCAAGTCACAACATACGTCGTCTCATGACACTGTACACAAATAACAATTTAAAGAAGTCGTCTGTCTTCTTACACATTTTATTGATTTTTGTTCATGCAACTTGTGCATTAAGCTTGAAAAGTTGCTGCTGCTGTCAAGTACAAATAATGTTTGTAATACTTAAATGAAAAATCTGTTTTTGTATTAAATTACTAAAATATATATTCTGCTAAAATAAAGGTTTCTAACAATTGTTGCAAAAAGTTAACAATTTACATATTTACATACATGGGAAAAAAGAAGTCTACAGAGTGTAAACACAAAAGGGATCCATGATTAGTTGTAACATTAGACTTTATTTGATAAACATATATTTTAAATATAAAATAAAGACTGTAAAAATACTGTAGGCTGTTCAGTTTTGTAAATTTTTAAAAAATATATTTTAACGCAGACTGAGCCATTTTATTTACACACAAAGCATACTGGGTAAATTATGATGTTGATGAGTGCTCGGTATGAGGCTGCTAGCGAGCTATATCCACGCTGAAGGTTAATCTTGGACAATATCTGACGGTTGACTCTTAAATGAAACCAGAGAGCGTTGACAGAGAGGAGAAGGTAGAAATGACTCAAACTGCAACTGAAAATGTGGACGGAGAACAAAAGAGCTGCTTTATGGAAGAAGAACCTCAGCTTAGCCTGTTAGCTTTAGTGCCGACGCTATATTGCCTAATATATATATTAGTTTGGCGCTAGTGTGACAAACTAACAAGCTAAACTGAGGTCCTCCATCCATATTTTCAGTTACAGGCTGAGTCATTTCTACCTTCTCCTCTCTGTCAACGCTCTCTGGTTTCATTTAAAAGGGCCGATCGTCAGATTTTGTCCAAGATTGGCAAAATTTTTCTAGCCCAGTTCTGGCTCACACAAGGGGCAGTTCAATTAGACTATGATCTAGACCAGGTCTATTCAACTGGCGACCCACGGGCCAGAGAGACAGAAGTTCGGCCCGCCAATTGGTTCATTCATCTCTTAAGCCCAGTCCCCCGGTTTTCTACATTAATTACTCTAAGTTCTTTTAGTTAAACATAGACACGTTTGGTATCTCCAGAAACGTCAGGATCTTGGCTAGAAGCTGGTAAAAAAAAAATCATTTCTATGTACATCTAAGACAGTTAAAACTTCAAGCAGATGAAGACAAAACTATGAAACTGAAAATAAAATTTGTTTAAAAAAGTTTGGCAAGTCAGAGATGTTAAAATATTATTTGTGTCAAATAGGAGGCATAATGTGTTCTTATTGTTTTTTATATTGTTTTATTATCACTGCTTTTATAGGGTTCTATATGTTGTATTCATGATTAAATGCAGCAAAATACACTATTTCAAAGGTAACAGATCTTTGTAATACTTGGTTTATTTACATAATGACTTTAATTGCTGGATGTTCGGCTCCTGAGCAGTTGGCCCGCAGTAATCGTGGCCCCTGGAGCAGTTTAGTTGAATAGCTCTGGTCTAGATCAATATAGAAGATGGATGTGGTCCAAATCAGGTGTCATACTCGCAACTGCTGGCATGGCAAGTAATTTGTCAACCGGATGTGAGCCAGGTCTGGTGATGATGGTACTGTTTTTATGATAGCATGCCACAACTGGCCCAGTTGTGTTTTGGTTTTGTGGTGCTGGCCCAAGCATGGACCACCTCTGGTAAAGTATATCTGGGTCATTCTTTCTCCAAGTGTTAAGGTGCTTGTGTCTTGTGTGAGCCAGAACAGGGCCAGACAGATTTTGCTATGTGGGGGTGGTGTGGGACTTCAGTAACTGTGCAGAAATAAATGTCTGAAAACTTGACTGAAATTGAATAGAGGCAGCAATGTTAAGAAAAGTGAACCAAAAATCCTATACAATGATGTGGAAAAAGGTTCTGCAAGCAATAGAAGCATGGGGTGTACTTAGTATTTCACACATTTTTATTCCATTTTGACTTTGTGCTTGTAAAAACTGGTATGGGTGGAATATGATGCATGTTTTTGAACACTTGAGATGAGATTTTAATTTAGAACCTGGTAAAGACCAGATCATTTTTATTTTGTCCTGATACAGAAAACCCTTGAATTGAAAGGAGGTGGTTGTTTATCATTTTGCTATGACCGTAAACTTATTTTTAACAGGTATTTTAACAATTTAATTATCATAATCTATCCAGGGCTATTCAACTAGTGACCAAAGTTCGGCCTGCCAATTGGTTTATTCATCTCTGAAGCCCAACCCCCCGGTTTTCTACTTTAATTACTTTTAGTTACACATAGACATGTTTGGTATGCACAGAAACACAAGAATTTTGGCTAGAAGCTGGTAAAAAAACATTTCTATAAACACTCGAGAGAGTTCAAACTACAAGCAGATGAAGATAAAATGATGAAGGTGAAAATAAAATTGGTTTAAAAATTTGGCAAGTCAGAGATGTCAAATTATTATTTGTCTCAAATAGGAGGCATAACATGTTCTTTTTGTTTTTGATAATGTTTAATTATCAATATTTAATAGGGTTCTGTATGTTGTATTCATGATTAAATGCAGCAAAATAAACTATTTCAAAGGTAACAGATCTTTGTAATACTTGGTTTATTTACATAATAAATTGAAATGCTCAATGTTCGGCCCCTCAGCAATTGACAGGCAGTAACTGTGGCCCCCGGAGCAATTTAGTTGAATAGCCCTGATCTCTATCAGCTCAAATGTGTCATGCTTTGCAGCATCTTTACACAAATCCATTTCATCAAGTACATACTGAAGAGTAAATGTTACCTGTTGGTGTGGGTGCAAATCAGCACTTTGTTCTGAGGGCGCTTTGAAAGCTCTCTGGCTGCTGTAGCCAGGGTGAAGGTTTTTCCTGTTCCGAAAGGTCCATAAATCAGGAGGGGTGCCACAGACTTTTTATCATCGCAGTCCCCCATAATAAAGCGAATTGCTGTCTGCTGCTTTGCGTTCAGGTTCTCAAAGGTGACGGTACTGATAGGAAGCTCACAGTTTCTGAGGTCCGGTAGAACTTTGGTAGTATCTGGAAGGAGGTCTATAGCTTTGTGCATGGTACAGAAGCTGTAGCGGTCCAGTTGAAACTGCACCTCCATCTCATACGATTCGTTCTTTTTGAGGGCCAGATCAGTGCAGCACTGTTTGGGCAGCTGTAAAATGATTTGGTTTCTGTTTGTTCCTTCTCGCAGGATGCTGGCTTCGTAAACCTTAGAGTTTGGTTGACTCGAGTTAAGTGGAGCTATCAGACCTGACTGGATGCTTCGTTTCAGTACTAGCCCCTCAGGGCTGTCAATTGTGAGGGTATGAGGAATTGAGACAGCACAGAACAGTTCTCCTGGAGGAGCAAAGTTCATGCCAAACGATGAGCTGGTCAACATAATCATTGTTGTAATTGTTCCACCAACATTTAGCCTAAAATAAAAAAGACAAAAAGAAATTTAGAGAAAAAAGTTTAAAAGCCTGTTGACAGATAAACATGAGGATTTTACCTGGAGATAATTTGGTCCTCAGCTAGCTCCTCGTTATACAGGAACTGGTGCATTCTTTCTCTGTAGTTATCTGGGGTCAGTGGTGTCTGTTTGTTGCAAGAAGGTTTGTAAAACAAGTTCATCTGTGGTGGCTTGTACTCCTTTAACAGCTCCTCGTGTTCCTCTGTCCTGAATGAACACGGGATTACAACCCTGTTCCCTCGATGCCAGCGCTCTGCACTTTTCAGCGTAGCTCCAGAATTTGAGATTAGCTGCTCACTGTCGTCTTGCGACGGCTGGCCTACCCTCACTCTGAGTTTCTTCAAGAGCACTGGTCTCATGTCAAAATCCAGCACCAACCACTGCTCGTACAAGCCTGGGTGTACAGACGTGAAAGACACGGTGATGGCGTAGCTTATGTCGTCACAAACGAACGCTTCACCTGACGAGTAGATGCAGAGCTCTGAAATGTCACCAAGGCTGAACGACGCTCCTGGTTCTTGCTTCAGCAATGCTACATGCACAAGCCGTCTCTGAGGAAACACAAGAGAGTCAGTTAGCAGGTGCTTAGAATAGCTTAAACTCTCTGGGGCATGAGGAAAAAAGAACTGGAGATTTTAGCTTGAAATTTCATGGACATTAGCAACTTCTTACATCACTTATGTGTAAATCAAAATATTTAATTCAAGAAATATGCAAATAGTATTTGGCAAGTCTTGGGCCACTTCATTTTCTTTACACTGGGTCAAATAACTGTTGGATCTTGTTTATTTTCTAAGTTTCAAACCACAAATAAATGAACAATCTCTGTTTTCATGACAGTTTCATCTCACCACAAACTATCAACCAAAAGTCCAGAAAAATCACATTATATAAAAGTTACAGATTGATATGCAAATTTAGTAAAATAGGTGTTTAATTCCATACGATCCAGCCAGAACTTTGACTCCCAAGGACTACCTGTGACCTTAAAGAACACAGGTAACAATCAACTAATCAATAAGTCACAAACGCTCGTGCTCTCAAGTTGTGTAGAAAGCGCACCTTTTCACAGAATCAATATCTTCCAACCTCTTCACCATAATAAGCATTACCAAAGAGCTGTTTAAGAATGTCCGAAACTAGATAGTACTGGGTGAGTCAAAACTCCTAGGACACCCTTTTATTTCAGAAATGAAAGGGAAACTAAAATAGCTGAATACCCCAACAAGTAATGGATGAGAAGGACCTGTCTTTTAAGCTATGTACCCTAACCATGGCCACCATCTTGAAAGCTGCCATATTGGATCAAAGTAAAATTGTCATGAAGCACATCATGGAAGACCAGAACTGTCTCAGAAATAGATTGCTGCAATAATTTGCAATATCTCTTGGGCCTGGGGCTGAACACACACACACACACACACACACACACACACACACACACACACACAC